AACTTGGTATACAGGTTCCACCGAAAAACTAGTAAATATAAAAGCCAATCCACAAACTAAGAAAAAGAAGAAAAAGGAAATGAAAGTCCTCATAAAAAAAACGATTTTTTTTGTTAACGACATTAGTTGACGGGTAAAATCTAAAAAATTTGTGATAACATTATATTAGAATAAAAAATGTTTGACATTTTTATTATTGGTCTGACGAAGTTGTACGCTTCAGACAGCTATGATTAGCGGCCAAAACACCGTGCTGCACCATCCTCCTAATTCGCTCTTCAATTCCTTATCTCCTCGCCATATCTGTGTATCTTTCTGTAACGACAAAGCTTTAAAAAAGTCAGTCACGCACTCCGCCCCTCGGTTTGCTCGTCTGTTAAACAATGAATCACGAAAGTTGTTGGGTCGTCATCCAAATTGCTGGCCTTGGGCTCGACGACCATCTCTTCCTCCGGGACGTTCCTGTGACGGAAACATTGAAAAAGAACAAGATATGTGCGACAGCAGCAAAGACGATAGTGATAGTGATAGTGGTATCCAGATAGGATCTCTGCTCGAGGAAGTTATCCCACAAGGCAATAATACCGCTATAATCTCGGCTTGCTTTGTTGGCCTCTTCACCGGTATCAGTGTCGTGCTTTTCAACGCTGCGGTAAGTGCGCTATAGGTCTTTCATTTCTCTTTTCATCTACTATTCTCCCTTACTTACTTGGCCTCAGTCAATCAGCCCCCTGCCTACTTTAAATTATTGTACAATTTATCAGAGGAGTATCCTATACATCAAATTCACATAACTTAGTAAAATATGCTGACATTCTGAATTTTAACCTTACCAGCTTAGAACATCCAGGCTAGTTCAGAAACAGATAATCTAAATTGGCCTCATTTATAAGTCATTTTGTTAATCAAGACATACAATTTGGCTCTTGATAAAAGATTATGCAGCGCCCGATGATAACCTAATATTTATCAGCAACCCATATGTCACTTTCTTTTGTTTAAATGCTCTCCCATGTAATTTAACAATATTGTCACCATACAAAAGAGAACTGAAGTGAATGTTCCNCCCCCCCCAAGATACCAGTGAAATGACACCGGGTGACCCAAAAATAAAGCAGCTTACATCTTGACTTTGAGAGGAACTGCAATCAGCTATAAGTAGGTTATTAATTTCCAGTGCCTGCATTCTGCCCAAGTACTATGATATATTTCTGAAGCTTTGTTTCCCCAGTTCCTTTTTCAGACGTTTGCTGTCAATAAAGTTGAGCCAGCCAACTTGGTTCCCACAAGCTACTAATTTTGTCCAAGCTTACTCTATGGGAGAAGTTAAATTTCCCAAATTCCTTGAGCAGAAAATGAAAAATGAACTCAAAGTGTCATATTAGGCAACTATCTAAAGAAAAATACTTAATTGAAGTTTAGATAAGAAAAGTGAATATATATTGATGTAGTCTCCGTTAGGTGAGAAGCGCATCACTTACCCAGCAACATATGGACCTAAAATTTACTAGTGAACTTTTCACATTGTATCAAAAGCTCAACAAACAGAAAGATGACTAGTCCTAAAATGTTATTTCACATCAACCTTATCATACGTGCATTATTTGTTCTCTATATTTCTATTTCATCCGATATAACCAATCGTCATTGTAAATTCTATAATGCCTGTGGTTACTTTTGTCTTTAGTGACAAATGACATTTAGGCTAACCATGTAGTTATTGACTGATTTCGCTTGACGTCTCTTCCAATTATGTAGTAGTAGAGTGTTGAGATATGGATATGTTACCTTCTAAAAAAAAAGAGTGTTGAGATGCGGATGGTTTGCTAGCTGGCTTTTGTCTCCCTTCAAGTTGAATTAGCAAAAGCAATGTCTCATAAGTTGGATAGCTAGACAAGAAAAACTCCAAATTACTTTATGTAGAGTATTCTTAAGCTTGAGTCGCGAGTTGGAAATTGGAATTATGTAAAAAAACCTGGAATTATTTGGTTGAGCCTGCTTTTTATTTTTGTCAATATTTCCAGTATCTAACCCAACATGTTTAGAGCAATTCCCAGAGAGCCTCAATACGAGGCATTTGCAGAGTCTTTATGAGAGTCCAGGAAGGGGCACACACTGTAGAGGTATAGTGTTGTCCTTATTTTTTTTTTTTTGATAAGGTAAGATTTTATTAAAAGGTACCAAGATGGTGCAAAATTACAAACATCCAAACTAATACAACAAAGCAACTACATTCCTCCTAGCTCCTCTAGAAAATTCATATATTGTTCCATATTTTTCATTACATGTCTTTTACACCAGAAATACAAGTTTAATAAGCATCTGTTTTTAATCCTGGATACATGCTGCCTTTCCCCTTCAAAGCAAATCCTGTTTCTTTCCAACCATATTGTCCAGAACACACATAGAGGAATTGTTCTTCATACTATCTGTTGACTCTTTGCCACTTTTTGTTGTTGCCATGTCTCCAACAAACTTTACACTGGCAGGCATTGCCCACTTGACATCATATATATTTAGGAAGAGCTACCAACACTGCTTTGCCACTTTGAAATGGATGATTAGATGGTTGACTGTTTCTGCCTCTTCTTCACACATGTAACACCGGTTACATAGAGCAAAACCTCTCTTCTGCAAGTTCTCCTGAGTTAGAAAAGCTTCCTTTGCTCCAATCCAACCAAAACGGGCTACTTTAATAAGTGCTTTTGACTTCCATATTGCTTTCCATGGCCAATTTGACTGATAAAGCCCTTGTAGTTTTTGTAACAAGCTATAACAACTGCTGACTGTGAAAATACCATCATTACTTGCTGCCCAGATTAATGAGTCTCTCCTGTTTTCCTCCAATCTAACATTATTCAATAACTGCATCAATTGGGAAAATTCATCAACTTCCCAGTCATTGAGGCCCCTCTTGAAGATTAGCTGCCAGCCGGTGCTTGAATAGAAGTCTAACACTCTTCCATTTTTGTTAATAGAGCAGCTATATAGACCAGGAAACTTTGATCTAAGACTTCCATTTTCCAACCACATATCAGACCAAAACAGGGTATTATTACCATTTCCAAGTTTCAGTTTCACAAACTGACTATATTTATTCCAAAGATTACTAATTGTGCTCCAAACTCCCCCTTTTGAAGAAGATTGAATTGAACGAGGAGCCCACATGTCCTTCATACCATACTTGGCATCTATCACCTTTTTCCATAATCTATTCCCATCATAATTATATCTCCATAGCCATTTAAATAAAAGACTTTTGTTATGCATCTTTAGATTCCTCACTCCTAATCCCCCTCTTTCTTTTTTTTTCATCACCTCTTGCCATTTGACCAAGTGAAATTTCTTGTTATCATTATTACCTTCCCACAAAAATTTATTCCTCATAGTATTCAATTTTTTCTCCACTGATGTTGGCATTTTAACGAGAGATATTAGATAAGTAGGTATACCATCCATCACACTATTGACCAGTGTAAGCCTACCACCAAGAGATAAATATTGTCTTTTCCATGACACCAGTTTACTGCTACATCTATCCAAGACCCCCTGCCACATCTTTGCATCATTCTTTTTTGCTCCAAGTGGTAGGCCCAGATAGGTGGATGGTAGCTGCTCCACTTTACAACCCAAAACATCTGCCAGATCATCAATACAATGCTCGGCATTAATACTAAACACATTACTCTTTGCCAAGTTCACTTTCAATCCCGAGACAGCTTCAAAAGCTAGTAGTACTCCTATGAGGTGTAAGAGTTGCTCTTTTTCAGCTTCACATAATATCAATGTATCATCAGCATAGAGTATGTGTGAGAAATACAGTTCTTCCCCCTCTCTTTTTCTAATTTTCAATCCTCTAATCCACCCTAACTTTTCTGCTTTTAAAAGCATTCTGCTAAAGATTTCCATCACCAACAAAAATAAATAGGGGGATATTGGATCCCCCTGTCTTAACCCCCTCTGAGAATTAAAGTATCTATGTGGACTCCCATTAATTAAAACTGAGAAGCTAATTGAGGATATGCAGAATTTTATCCACCCAATCCATCTTTCCCCAAAATTCGTATGTTTCATCAGATTTAACAGACATGACCAATTTACATGATCATAAGCCTTTTCCACGTCAAGTTTGCAGGCCACCCCTTTAATCTTCCTCTTGAATAGATATTCAAGACACTCATTAGCTACCATAGCAGCATCAATAAATTGCCTTCCTCTTACAAAGGCATTCTGATTATCTAATATCAATTTTCCTATCACCATCTTTAATCTTTCAGCTATCGACTTTGCAATTATTTTATAGACACTGCCCAACAAGCTGATAGGTCTAAAATCTTTCACTTCCGCTGCCCCCTTTTTCTTAGGAATAAGAGCAATGAAAATTGAGTTTAGGCTCTTAGTCTTGTCCTTATTTTCAGGGTTGAACTAGTTCTTTAGAAGTTTCCTAGGCTTCCTAATTTCCAAAGTTCTGCCAGGTCCTTTTCTAGTGAAGTACTTGAAGTTTAATAAATCAAATTTTAATTTCTAACATATCCCGAGAAATTCATTCACAAATTCAACTGGTGACTTCTGATGCAGAAACATAAGCAACTGCTTATGGGTTCATATGTTCCTGCAATTTTATTGTTGACATGGATTGGCTTCATATGGTTTTGTTCCTGCAATTTTATCGCTGACACTAATCCTTTCATATGGTTTTATGTGGGGTGGTAAATAGAGGTTAAGAGACAAGAAGAGGCTGGAAAAGGTGGGCAGTTCATTTGTTAGTAGACTACTCTATTTACTAAGAGATATGATGTCCCATACATTACTCGAATTGGCTCCAAATACAGATTCCACTTCTTTGTCGAGTTTCCTTATTGTACAGAGTTCGACTCGTCAAGGGAAATTCACTTCCTTTGACTGAATAATGCTAGTTTGAGTAGTACCTTAAATTAAATGGACCATTTAATTCTATCTACTTGATAGAATAGACTGGTCATCAACTAGTTGCAAATATAATGACAACTCCGCCATGTTTGCAGAGTCACCTGATGAAGAAGTACCTCAATTAGTAGACCATTTCTTGAATGTTCTACAGTATTCTCTATGCCTACATGACCACATCACTTTTCCTTTTGCGTTGTGAGAACTTGAACTTGGTGAGCGGGGGTTCCCCAGGAATGGCATCTTGGTGGCAGATGACCATTCTGTCCTTATCTTAGCTAATGCTTCTTGGATTGCCTCACTAGATTTATTATACCTTTAATAAATGTTTGCCATTGTTCTGCCATAATAGAGGGATGTACCTAGCTGGTGCTTCACATCACATAGTCCAAAACTAATGAAATGCTTTACAATTGTCGAGTACTAAAGGATGATTTGTGGAATCAGATCTCAAACAATTTATTTTGAGGAAGAAAAATACCAAAGGTTTTTTCTGTTTGTTGGAAGATTAAAAATCCTTTAAAAGGTAAAGATTTATGAACTTAATTCAGCATTTTTGTGGCCATTGCTGAAAAAGAGAAAACAATGGCACTTATTCGAGTTTGCTTATCCAAAAAAAAAGAAGAAGAGAATGTCACGTAATGCAATTTCATCTTAGGAAACTTTGCAGGAGAAAAGCAAGAGTGATAAAACAGAACTATTTGTTTTTTTGATAAGTTGTTGTGACCTATTTCTTTGTCATTCTTATTTGCTAATAAGCTAATGTACCCTGTACTATGGTTGTTTTGACTTAATCCGGGGATGTTCAGTGAGCATTTTCTTGTTTTTTCTGCTGTCAGCATCTGCTGCCTTACAGGAATTCATTTTCTGGAAATTTACTTCTTGTTCTGCTAACATTTTCCTGTTATATCTTGTCAGTCATTTTCTCTCCATGGTTATACTGTTTGTGTCACTTTGAAACTCTCCTTGTTTTCTACTTTAAAGGATTTAATGCTGCTGTCGGGGGCTGTTTCTTTGCTGTGGAATCTGTGTTATGGCCATCACCTGCAGAGTCCTCCTTGTACTTGACAAATACGACTTCAATGGTTATTCTCAGTGCTGTTATAGCTTCTGTAGTCTCAGAAATTGGTCTTGGCTCTGAACCTGCATTTGCAGTTCCAGGATATGATTTCCGTACACCTACTGGTAATTTTGGACTTCTTTCTCGAGTTTGATTCTTAAATACAATTGTACCCGTCACTTACAGCAACAACAACTACATTTCAACAGCTAGTTGGGGTTGGCTACACAGATCATCACTATCCATTTCAATTTCTTTAGTCCCATTTCTTTCGAATATTCAGTACTTTGGGATTCTCTATTATCAGAGGTTCTCTTTATTTTCTACTTTGACGTACAAATCTCTAAATAGATTAAAGAAGACTCCTAGAGACACTGGCCTAATGCAAATGTACCACCATGAATAAACCTTAATCTGAAATAGCTGGTATCGTATATAAGAACCTTTAGCTTTAATTGTGTTCTATATTGATCTTTTGGGACAACTTCCGTCCAATAATATTATGTCTTACTTATACAGTTATACTTATCCTTAAACTTTACTCTTTAGAGTGGTTATCCGTAGTTCAAGCTTTTGTTGGCACCATAGCTAGTTTGGTTCTTAGTAAAAAGTTACTCTTTAGAGTGGTAACTTTTTGTCAATTTTCTTAGTGAAAATATAACCTCTGTGACAAATCTACCAAGTATAAATCCAATATGGTTCTGTGTCATACTTGTAGTTTATCCAAGTCTATGCTCCATCACTCTTACAAAGGCTCATCGTATGACTAATTTTTTTTGAGAAAGGTAACAGTTTGTATTGATAATAAGATCAGCGCCAGGTTAGTCATTAGTGCTAATAGCTGTATGTACAACTCCAAAAGAGCAAAAGACAAGCACCTGGTGTAACGTAAATTACAAGCTGCCTATAAAATCTATCAGGTCTCCTACCTCACTAAACATTTCTTGTTTACACCAAAAAAATAAAACAAGGAAAGACAATCCATCTTAATCTTCTGAATGGAGTTTCTTTTGCCTTCAAACATCTCGAGTTCCTTTCGTTCCATGCAATCCACCATATACAAGCTGGGATGCTTTTCCATTTGTCTTTATCCATTTTTTCTACCAATTCCCTTCCAATTGACTAGAAGTTCCAATGTGGTTCTAGATATGACCCAATTAACTCCCAACATATAAAAGAACATGTTCCACGGATTTGTAGTGATTCTGCAATGTAGGAACAAGTGAGCATTACTTTCTACTTCCTGTCCACAAAGAAAACATCTTGAGCAAATCTGGAAACCTCTTCTTTGTAAGTTATCATGTGTTAAACATGCTTTTTTACCACTAACCAGACAAAACATGATACTTTGGGAGGAGTTTTAACCCTCCAAATGTGTTTCCAAGGCCACACCTCAGTCATTGAAACATTATGATTTAGAGTCCAGTATGCATCTTTTACTGAAAATGCACCTTTGCTATTCAGCTTCCAAACTATTTTATCTATGGTCTTGTTAGTTTACAGCTATGTATATAGTGTAGTCTTGTCCCACATTGGAATAGGAGTAGTATGTCCTTGTATAGTATAGCTATAAATAAGGACCTCTTGTATTGTATTGAACATCCAATATCAATAACATATTTTCTCCCGTGCTTTCTCACATGGTATCAGAGCAATTGTGAGAGATTTATCGCTGCGCATAAATTCCAGCGACTCCGGGAAGAGAAATCAGTCACCGGAAGTCTTTTTCCGACGACTCTTTCAAGGTTGTTTGCGTTTGCTTTATAAATCCAACACTACCACAAGAGTAATCACTGTCCGGCGACCAAACCCCAGTAAAAATCTCCGGCAGCAGCCTCCTCACGCCACCAGAAGCTCACGCGCCGGCGCGTACGACCACTTCCGTCCATTTTTTGAAAAACTTCCTTCAGAACAGTTGGGTCGCCTGGTAATTCCTATCCTACCCCTACTGTTTTCATTTCATTCCGACCACTTTGAGTTTTTTCCGGCTGCTACAGTACTATTCCGGCAGCTATAGTACTATTCCGACAACTACAGTAAGATTCCGGCTGCTACAGTATTTCATTATTCTGTTTTTGTGTTTCCTTACTCTGTTTCAGTGGATTACAATTGATTCTTTCTCTTATTTGGTAATAATTTGCAACAATGTCTATGGGATTTGATGTTTTTGGGTCTAGAAACATGAGTTCTGGAAGCTCTAGTGTTATTATTACCTCAGAACCTTAAATGGGAGGTTCAAACTACTTAGCTTGGGCTTCATCTGTCGAGTTGTGGTGTAGAGGCCAAGGTGTTCAAGATCATCTAATCAAACCGTCTAGCGAAGGAGATGAAAAGGCAATAACACTTTGGACAAAAATCGATGCTCAGTTATGTAGCATCTTGTGGCGATCTATTGATTCCAAGTTGATGCCCTTTTTTCGTCCATTCCTGACATGTTATTTGGTTTGGGCAAAGGCACACACCTTATACACTAATGACATATCTCGCTTCTATGATGTGATATCGCGGATGACAAACTGAAAGAAGCAAGAATTAGATATGTCTACTTACTTGGGTCAAGTACAAGCAATCATGGGGGAATTTGAGAAGTTGATGCCAGTTTCTGCTAGTGTTGAAAAACAACAAGAGCAGCGACAAAAGATGTTTCTCGCTCTTACCCTCGCTGAACTTCCTAATGATCTTGATTCAGTACGCGACCATATTTTAGCTAGTCCGACTGTCCCGACAGTTGATGAATTATTCTCTCGATTACTCCGCCTTGCTGTAGCACCAAGTCACCCAGTGATCTCATCACAGATACTTGATTCCTCTGTTCTTGCATCCCAGACAATGGATGTTCGGGCATCTCAAACTATGGAGCCCAGACGAGGAGGAGGTCGTTTTGGAAGATCTAGACCCAAGTGTTCTTATTGTCACAAACTTGGACACACTCGTGAAATGTGTTATTCCTTACATGGTCGTCCACCCAAAAATGCTTACATTGCTCAGACCGAGACTCCAGGTAACCAGGGATTTTCTTTATCTAAAGAAGAATATAATGAACTCCTTCAGTATCGAACAAGTAAGCAGACATCTCCACAAGTAGCCTCAGTTGCTTAGACTGATACTTCTTTTACTGGTAATTTTTTTGCTTGTGTTTCCCAGTCTAGCACTCTTGGCCCATGGGTCATGGACTCAGGCGCTTCTGATCACATCTCTGGTAATATATCACTTTTGTTAAATATTGTATATTCATAGTCTCTTCCCATTGTTACTTTAGCCAATGGATGTCAAATTACGGCAAAAGGAGTTGGACAAGCTAATCCCTTGTCTTCTATCACCCTAGATTCTGTTCTTTATGTCCCTGGCTGTCTTTTTCGTCTTGCATCTGTTAGTCGTTTGACTCGTGCCCTCCATTGTGGTATATATTTTATTGACGATTCTTTTATTATGCAGGACTGCAGTACGGGACAGACAATTGGTGGAGGACGTGAATCAGAAGGCCTTTACTACCTTAACTCACCCAGTCCTTCCACAACATGTCTGGTTACAGATCCTCCAGATCTAATCCACAGACGTTTAGGACATCCGAGTTTATCCAAACTTCAGAAGATGGTGCCTAGTTTATCTAGTTTGTCTACATTAGATTGTGAGTCGTGTCAGCTTGGGAAACATACCCGAGCCTCCTTTTCGCGTAGTGTTGAGAGTCTTGCATAGTCTGCCTTCTCCTTAGTTCATTCTGATATATGGGGTCCTAGTAGAGTAAGTTCAACCTTGGGATTTCGTTATTTTGTTAGTTTCATTGATGATTATTCAAGATGTACTTGGCTTTTCTTAATGAAAGACCGTTCTGAGTTATTTTCTATATTCCAGAGTTTCTGTGCTGAAATCAAAAACCAATTTGGTGTTTCTATTCGCATTTTTCGCAGTGATAATGCCTTAGAATATTTATCTTCTCAATTTCAGCAGTTTATGACTTCTCAAGGAATTATTCATCAGACATCTTGTCCTTATACCCCTCAGCAAAATGGGGTTGCTGAGAGAAAGAATAGGCACCTTATTGAGATTGCTCGCACACTTCTAATTGAATCTCGTGTTCCGTTGCGTTTTTGGGGCGATGCAGTGCTCACAACTTGTTATTTGATTAATCGGATGCCTTCATCTCCCATCAAGGATCAGATTCCACATTCAGTAT